ACACAATCTGGCCAACAAAGTGATGATTTCTCCCTTTGCAACTCATCTTTCTACACTTGAGAGTTGGAGGGTGGAGTTGAACACCTATCAACAGTGTAGCGCACTCACCAAATTGTAGTTGTAGCTCCATGGAATTGGATAATTAAACAGGTAGAGCAGAGCAGGGCGGCAACATTATTCAGCAGCACCGACGCATGCACAAACTGAAAAAAAGAAAAGAAAAGAAAAGAAGAGAGAGAGATGCCGTACAGGTCGACGCCGAGTAGTACTAGTACAGGTTAGGCTTTTGACTCCGTTGGGCCACACACATCTATCCATCCATGTAGGCGAGGCGCACATGCCGCGGACCGCGGGGAAACAGCTCGATCCGCGGACATGTACCACTCCTCCATATTGGCCAAAAAGAAAAGGGGGAAAAAGGCGCCGCGAATGTCACCGTGTCGGCCATCCATGAGCTCCGGCTGCACCGTGATGAGCTCCGGCACCGGCAAGCCAGAGCATGTAGAGTTAAAGTAGGAGTAGATGTGTTCAGTTTAGCAATTTATTCGATGCTGTGGCATGGCATGTTGCATTTGCTCCATCCAAATCTGCATCAATGAACACATACACACGCACATTCATTCATTCACTCACTCGCAGAGTGTGTAGGAATCAATACATGCATCCACGCGTGGATCGGAGCTCGGTTGTGAATGTCTGATCTCGGCTGCTGCTGCTGCTCTCGCACGCTGCATGATTGCATTGCATGTTCTCAACTCTGATGAGTAATAGTGCTACTGTGGCATGTTCACGCAGGAGTAGGAGGAGGAGTAGATAAAGATGCCGGCGTCGGAGATGAGATCTGGATCGATGAGCCGCAATAACTCGGAAGCACACGCATCAGCAAAGATGGGATGGTTTGGCTGCAAGCTATTGTAACGCTGCATAGATGGACCGACCCTGTTCTGTTTGACCGGACTCTGAATCGAGCCCCAAACATTTCTTGGTTTCAAGAAGAAAAAAAAAAGGGTTTAGCACAGTACTAGTAGTACTACTCCAAAAGTCAAGTAGTAGCAGTAGCAGCACTATGCTGATAGGATAAAAAAGAACGGAAAATGCCACTCCTTGTCAGGAGCTTTATAGAACGGCGCAATGCTGGGAGGCTGGATAATCTTGGCCGCGTGCTTTACCACTTTACCGGCAACCAAATCATGTCAGTAACTAACCAACGGAATCACAGAAAAGCAAAGGTACGAGTAGTGTACAACCGTATGTTTCATGTTTGTAATTTTACCGCGCGCGGGAACTGGATACCGCGAAAAGCGCGCGAAATGGAACCATTTGGGATACACACGGTAGGGATCCAAGATTTCAGTTATGCTTTTCTGCACTTCCAAATTTGAAGTTTACTTTGAACACCGGCATTGCTTTTCCTCTCGGCAATCGGCATAGAGATGCTCTAGCTGTGAGCCAAAAGCAAATGCGTGTTACTCCAGCGATATGAGATTTGAGAAGGAATGGCACAGCACAGGTACGCAAACAGGGAGGATAGATACAGATCACAGCAAGCTAATGGTAGTACCATACAATTTAAGTAGCAATATAATCCTTTTGATTAATCATCATATCATCACCATTTGAAAATGATAAATTATAAAAGCGAGAGTGGGCGGGAGAGCGTAACCTTGTACGCCTACCTCCTCCATTTCCCACACAGCTTTTTTTTTCTTCTTTCGCTCGCCCGGTTTCTGCAAATCGCAACACAGACCGACCACACAATCCCCAACCCCAACAAACTCAAAGAACCCAACCGGTAACACAATTACATCATAGCAGTAGTAGTATTACTAGCAGCAGCAGCGGCGGCGATGCCGGCGCCGAGGGTCGCCGCCGGCGAGCGGCGGTTCAGCTGTACTGGACGAAGGAGCGGTAGAATGTGTTGGGCCTCCAGTTGGCCGGGATGACGTTGTTGGCGACGAGCGTCTTGCCGGACTCGTTGCGGATGCGGATGGAGAAGGGGGCCTGGAGCCTGTGGTTGGTGTCCAGCCTCCAGATGGAGCCCCACGACTCCCTCATCGGCGTCCACCTCCCCGTCGGCGGCCCGTGCGCCGTCTTCGACTCCATCAGGTCCACCTGCACCACGTCGCCGTCGCCGTCCTCGTACTCCACCAGCACCGCGAAGTACACAGGGTTCGAGTACTCCTCCACGTGGAACCCGATCTTGAGCCCCGGGAACTCGCATGGCACCCTGCACCATCACATCACACGAATCCACCATTAAGTTAATTAAACACAAGTGAGAATTACTCCGCTGCTAATCTTGTCATATGCTGCCTGCTTTACTGGTCATGTGGAAATACAATAATCGTGTCCTACTTTTTTTGTTAATCGGATTGGGGCCCATTGATTGATAAAAAGCATTTTACTACAAGATGGAAATGGGGTGGCCGGTGGCGTATAATAGCAGGGCACGCATCATACGTTTGGCTGCAGAAGGGAGGCGTGCCTACTGCTAGTAGCCAAAAACGAGCATGTTGCAGTCTGGCAGAGGATGAAATTTTTTTTTAAAAAAAAACATCCTAAACCTAATAAAGTTGTTGCTGCATTGCATCTGAGCTGCACATGCATGTGCAATCCATTGCCGGTGTCCGGAAATGGAGTTAAAGGTGTGCAGTTGGGTGGATCCACTCATCTCATCATCCACTCCACCCAACTTTTACCCTCTACTAGTAGTAGTACTGGAAGCAAATTTCAACGGCAGATTTGGAGGGCTACACTACCACCACTACTACATCAGTACAGTACAATGTGGTTTCTTTCACTGACCTGGTGAACTCGATGTCGATGATGCCGGAGTGGCGCAGCTTGTCGTTGAGGCCAGGCTTGGCGAGCCTGCCGAACGCCGTGCCGCTGAGGTCGAAGTGGAACGGAGCCACCGGGTAGTAGTTCATGTCGGTGATGATCACCGTCTCCGACCTGCCGGAGCACGACTGGTCCTTGGTGCATCTGATCTGTAATGTTAAAAAGAAAAAAAAAGAAGAAAAAACATTAGCATTGAATGCATTTGGCGCGCCAATCACTGCCACCGAAAACCGGGGTGGAGGGGGCCACGCGCACATGCTCTCGGCGGTGGGTCCCACCCTGCGGACCGATGGTCAAGACTGCAACGGCATGCACTGCTTTGACAGTTAGGCCCCCCATGTAAATGGGCTTCTTTTTCTTTCTTTAATCTTTTGATTAGTTTGGAGTACTCTACTCACCTTGTAGCAAGAGCCGCATCCCTTGCCGTCCTTGAACAATGGCTGGTTGCCGCAGGAGGTCATCGACATGAACGGGTACTGGTTGGTGTGCTTGAACCCGCACGCGCCGCCTGGATCAAGATTTTGTGAGCCACATTGCCGGAAAGAAGCAGCAGATCGTCGGAGAAGAAGAAGAAAAACGAGCAAAGATATCACAAGCCGTACCGTTGTCGTCGGGGCCGGCGCCGTTGGGCTGGCCGTACCAGGTGGCCCTGGCCTTGGTCCAGGGGCCCCAGTAGACGGCGGCGTCGCTGGAGTTGAAGTCCACGCCGTTGCCGGCGAAGTCGGCGTCGGCGTCGGTGGCGTTGAAGTCGGCGGCGGCGCAGTGGCCGACGGCGAGGAGGGAGAGAAACACCGCCGCGGCGGCGAGAGAGGACAGCGAGCCCATGTCGCCTTTCGCCGCCACTGCCCTCTCCTCCTCTGCAGGGATCCGATGAGAGAGGTGGCGGTGGTGAAGTGAAGAGAAGAGAAAGAGAGTGAAGTGAGATGAGTGGGGGTGTTGGTTTGTGTGGCCGTAGTGCGGAACCGGGTATTTATAAGCGAGGTGGGTACACTACAACACTAGTACACTGGCTAGGCTAGTGTGTGTGAGCAGAGAGAGAAGTGAACTGGAGGGGAGAACGTGCCATGTTGGGCCGCGGCACATGGCCTGGCACGGTGACATGCAGCGTCCGTCCTCCTCTTCCTCATCTTCTTCTTCTTCTTGCTACGGCAGCGCGTATTAAAAGTTGGCAGATGATAGTTGGGGCCGGTAGATAGATAGGCTGGCCTCAGCTCAGCTAGCTGCCTCTGCCTCACTGCCTGACTGACATGGAGGCTTAGCTCAGCTAAACCACATCCGATCAGGCTCAGAAGAGAACGAGAACAGAAGGTGCTGCTTCTTGTGTTTTGAAATGTCGGCATGTGCGTGCCGTGAGAAAAAAAGGTTCATGCTCCATGCCAATGTGCCATGACACGAAATTATATTGTGGATCCAAGTAATTGTTACTGCATGCGTTCTCTTCTTCTCCCCGGGATAAACAACTGATTGATGTCTCATCATCCTCTTCTCGTGCCCGTTTCATGCTGTTGGTGCGCCCATAGTTCAGATATGGGTTTTTTGGATCTTTGTTCGTGCTTCAGCCTTTTTTGCTTTCGACCTTTTTCTCAGGTAGTGGAGTACTGTTTGTAAACAGAGGACCCGTACACCCATGATGTTTGTGCTTTCACACCTTCATCCTGCAAAAATTTGTTTTCTTATATTTGCTGCAAAAATATTGTGCTTGTTTGAAGCTACAAAGCAATTCCAATCTTTGATTTATCTATATGGTTTGGCAATTCTACACAGAATGAAGATTAGAACCTCAACAATATTATACTACTGTACACTCGACTACTTGAAAAATCGCGATCCCTTTCGTGAGTATAAATGACAGTTTAGGGGAGGTTCCCTTGCAGTAGACCAGAGTGCATCTGGTTCCAAACTAACCTGAACCAGTTTCAGACTTGACATTACATTCAATCAGATACCGGCAGCTTGCTTTACTACCAGTACTACATGCAAACTAATCCCCACTGATCTCCTTTTCATCTCATTATTGACGGAAGAGCTACTACCTAGCTGTACATTGCCGTTACGTTCATCTTTAGCGCCTGGCATTATTCGCTAGCTGACACTGAGTTAACCCAAAACTAAACGATTGTGACAGATGTGCATGAAGAAAAACAAGCAGGATAATGCATGCACAAAGAGCACACGCATTGCCGCTTTTGACTCCATTTGTCCTTAATTTGCATATCATCCCACATGCATGCCCGCAACTACCCGCAATTTCTCCATCGATCGTTACATGCCGGCAAATTAAGCCGGCCTGCCGGTAGAGAGAAGAAAAGCTGCCCTATGAACAGTGGTAGGATTGCTACCGTACCAGGCTAGCAGTCATTATACAGAAAGGATTTGTTAATTAACCATCCATTTGGCAAATTTTTGGAGGGATTTATTCGCGAATTCTCTACTATTGGGTCGGCGCCAAGATTTGTGTGATGTGTCTTCTTCTCTAGCTTTGGTGACCTGCAACAATCTGACCGGTTAAGGTTTAGCCAAGGTTCGGAATTAGCTTGGAATGGGAGGGTGTGAAAGAGAGGAGGGGTACTCGTCGCGAGGATGGGGATTGGGGAGGCCACAATGTTGGGTGAGAGGTGAGCATGCAAGCCTGGGAGAAAGGGGAGGGGGGGATACAATAAGGCTATTGTTCACACATAATTTTTATGCGATCTAAGCTGTCCAATAGCTTACTAAAATCTACCAAATATGTGGATAGACATATCAAAATTTAAATAGGAGTAATAAAAGGTTAGTGCATTGTTATGTGTCTTTTCACAACACTAAACTCAATCCTAACATCTCAGAGAGAGAGAGAGAGAGAGAGAGAGTGTGCGCGCGCGCGCTACGGATGGCAATTCATCCCCCTGCGTGTGTGCATGATTAGGAAGGGGGCGTGTCCCACACTGCCTAAGTCAGCCGGCGAGCCGCTTGCCACTGACACATCACACATCCTTTCATCTTTTCCCATTATCTCGTTAGGGTCAGCCCTGGCCACTGGATCCGTTGCTGCTTCATCGCCACACCGATGAATTCGCTAGGTCCTAAGCCTTAATATAACCGCTCATGCTCCACAGCCAATGGATCCATGCTGGATCTGCCATGGTCAAGCATAGCACCGCTTTCTCGTTGCAAACTTGCAACCATGGGATATCTAGCACCATTACGGTCGTAGTCGACTAAGGCAGGGGTGTGGGGGTCAAATGGGATGCCGCGAGAGTTCGCATCACTGTTCATGGGGATGAGCATTGCCATGGACACCCCACGATGATGACGAGGCAACGAATTGCGAGACGACTAGCTAAGAAATAGAAGCAATGAGAGACAGGGGATAGATGCTCGGTGATCAAGACGATGTTTCGTACTAGTAATTGCATGGTATTAGTCCTGAAACTCACATGTATCATCTGATTGGCTAATGCCCACTGATATAAAATCTGATACATGTAGATATCGGATATGATATTATCAAATCTGGAACAGGATCATATACAAATAGCAGGGGAAAAAAACAATTTCTGTGGTTGCGCCACACAGAAGTTAAATGAACAAGAGCCGTGCATCTCGAGATCGGACGGCTGGTTCTTGCTCGACGGATCGATCGCTGGCTGCAGGGCACACAGCCCATATCGGACCCGGCAGACCGGCATGCGTCGAACCGCGATGCTTCAACGGCACGCAGAGGAGAAGGCAACATGACACGCACACGCAGCATCCATCCATGCATCCATGAGACCATGACCATTTGCTCCATCATATCCTCTCCTACCGATCGATGGAAACAGTACGAATCCGGCCTGGTCCAGCACACATCTCGCAGCTATCCATACTGCTCACCTACGTACTCGTGATAATCCTACCGTCAAGTCGCTTTCTCCCTTTTTTATCCTATTCATCACATACTCCGTCTGGTAAGCCACACAATGCAGCCGTACACAAAAACCTTCATTGCAAATGCAACCTCCATCCATCGACCATCGTCCAGGCCCAAACCAAGCAAGCAGCGGCAGCAACTCGACCCCAGATCGATCATCGCCAGACACTCACCTGCTAGTTGTTGGCGCCGCGCTCGCTCATTCGTGCGTACTCATATACTGTAGCAGCCTCGTGTACACACACACACGCAATGCTCTGTTCTTGAGAGATCTGGATTCTGAACGAACGAACGCCGGCAGCAGATGCTTCTTCAGAGTCACCGAGAAAGAATAATTTGGGGTTGGGTTGGTTGAGGACTCTTGCCGGTCGGTGACAATCATGGAGAGGAGAGCAAAGTAAGCAAAAAAACCGTGTCTCGCTCGCGAGAGAGCCCATATCATATGGCGTGCAGATCAGCCAGGAATATTTGAGTAAACTAACACCCAAAGTACTGCACCGTACTCCTCGCGAAGATGGCACAGCTTTCATCCATCGTGTCCCTGTTATTAGGCATCTGCACGCATGGAGTAGTAAATTACACGCATTGCATCTAAGAGCACCCACAATGGTAAAGTAAGGTGCTCTCTATAAAACATGTACATCTCATAATAGACTAGATTAATAGTAAACCACCTCAATAGTATGTCTACATGGGTATCTATAGCTCTCTAATACATTGCCTCTTTTTCTCTATAGACTATCTCTAGGTTAGTAGATAGCTTTGCTCTCTCTCTTCATTTAATCTCTTTCAATTAGGAAAATATACTGACATGGATATTTTATAGAGAGCCTATAGATAACTATTGTGGATGCCCTAATTAGCTGCCTTGATCATTACCACAGCAAAGCCAGGCATGCCCAACAGTAATCTAGGTACCCACACTGCGCGCGCGCGCACACAACTACCTTGATGGTATGGCACCGGTAATTAATTACTCATCGCTGTTAAGTCTGTATCTGATGAGAATTGTCGAGGAACGACGACGTAGGGTGAAGTGCAGTGCTGCTACTGAAGATTCTACATGGACATGATTACAGCAGGTGATGAACAGAACATAAAAAGTTTTGTGCGAGACGCACATGGAGATTTCAATGAAGGATAAGGAGTGTAAAATTAATAAAGATTTTTAGAGCCAGTGAGGCGACGGATGAGCGATGCGCACTGGCAGGATGGATGCATTGCCGGATATGTTCAGCTCATCCGCGAAAGCGGCCGGCTTGGGTGCTTAACTAACATGGGTGGTGATCGATCGATGCAGCGAGAGAGAGAGCGTTGCAACGCATGTGACGAGCAGACGACACTTCACATGCCAACTCGACGGATCGATCCGCTCTGCTACTACCGCTGCTAGTGCGTGCTAGGCCGAATCCGTTTTGTCAATCGATCGATCAACCGTTTTTTTCTACGTATAAACAGTGAGGACGATCGAGCAGCTCTGAACCATACATGTCCCTTTCAGTAAAGCAGCAATTAGCCAGCTGCAGGGAGATGTGCAGTGAGCAACTGGACATACACACGCAGACACACACAACACAAGTTGTGTCCACTTTAAACCTGCACCTGCGGCTACGCACTGACTGCACCGGGATGCTCTGTACAGAGCCCAAGCTTTGCTAGTAAATATAGGCTTGTGTTTAGATCCAAAACTCTGCGCTGAACTAAACACAACTTTTCAGTCACATCATTTTCAATTTCAACCAAAATCCAAACTCTGCGCTGAACTAAACACAACCATAGATTGCTCGTGTTCGTGCTCCTTTCCGGTTAACCTGCTCGTAATCTTTTTAATCAGTTTAGCACGCGAGCTAGATAGCGTAGAGACCACCGGCTTTCGAGGAGGGGAGGTGGTGGTTGCCGCTGCAAGCCACATTGATTGAACGGACGCACGCTGGCTGTATGTAACCGAACATCTTAATGCCGCGATACGCTACAAAAGTTGGCGTAGCACGAGCCATTTTTTCCTTTGTTTCTTGCAGTACTCATCGTTTCTCGAGAGCAACACGACGACATTGACATTGCCGTGATGCTACGAGTACGAGCTCCCAGGAGGAGAGAAATTAAGCCCATGACCATGAGGCCGTGACTCCATCACCTAGCTGCGTGAATGCCAGAACAAGGGTCCAATATAATGAAGATGACAATGCAAGTTTCATCAGTTTCCTATTGTCCTTTTCTCTCCAGGAAATCAGGAGCAGGGCGGATGATAAATGGATAGTGGCAAGAAGCACTGTCACTGAGAGACAGAGATGCTTTGCCATGGACGCCACGGAGTTTGAACTTTGAAGCGAGCTACTAGTAGTAGCTTAGCTGACTGAATGAGTGAGTGCAGAAGGATGCATGGTTTCTGAAGAATGCACTCTTATCCCTTACTTGAGCTTTACCCAAACACCCCCAGTTATGCGGCATAACGAAAGGGAAACACAATAGTATCAGCGATTATTAGTTAATCCAATCCAAAGGCGGCCAAGTTCCAAAGTGATGCTTGCCGTAAATTGGGGCTCATTGCAAGAATTCCTCCCTTGGGCCCCGAACACTTGCAGCAGTTGGCCGTAAATCAAGGTGCTTCTGCCTGCAGCAACGAGCATGGCCGAACGTTTTCCTTTCTTTAACGGGTAATCCCTAGGGTGTAGGTCCAGGGCCCATAAGGCCCACATGGCAGCGAGAGAACATGTATATGCCGGCCTGATGAAGAGATCGGACGGCCTGGATTGGCACAACTGGCCGCATCGGACGGCTGCGAGGCAATGAACGGAGAGATGGGAGATGGAGAGCGGCCCACCAGGAACGGGCCTTTTTTCCGGCCTAGGGAAGGGAGCCTCCGTTTTTGGGGGCCTTTATTCTGTTCCCACTCTAACGAGAAAAACTGTCTCAACGCACGCTACCCCGTGGCCCACAACTTTTCACGCTTTTACCGGGCCCACCAATAAACTACCCCTACAGTAACAAGTACTCCCTCTATTTCTATTTCAGGTATAAGATAAACTGCTTTAAATTTAATCAAATTTATAGAAAATAATAATAATATTTTTGATACAAGATAAATTTATTATAAAAATATATTTAATTATTAATTTAATAAAACTAATTTGGTAATGTAAATATTATTATATTTGATTATAAATTTAGTTAAACTTGAAGCAGTTTGACTTTAACCAAAGTCGAAACATCCTGTAACCTGAGACAGAGGGAGTAGTTAAAAAAAATCCAAAAATTACTGCAGCTGCAGCGGTGGGGCCGCGTGAGCGTGTGAGTATGAGACGATTTGTGGATGAGGAGAGGAGATGCACGCCGATGCCATGCTGCATTAATGGCCGGTGGTCGCGGCTCCCGACGAATAAATTTTGCCGTCGGTGGCCGGTGCAGCACAGCCGGCGGTGATTCGGATAGTGACCCTCTCCGGTGTGTACTACGTGTCATCGTACACCACCCCCCCGTCTGAAACGTAGGACGCCTTGTCCTCTTATACACTTGGCACATGTGCACATCGTACTGGTGGCCATTGACCTCTCCAACTCTGTTTTCCAGCGGTAAACTGATTAGTACAAAATCTCAATCTCACTACAATCTTTCTGTGTGAACGAGATTATACTATTGTCTGCGTGGTAAACGTACGGAATCTTTCGCCTGCACCTGGGGCGGACGCGAAGGCGACGCGCGGCGGCGGCCGCTCGTCGGAGCGGAGATGGTGAGGAGTCGCTCGCGGGGTCACATGCGATGGCGCGGCGGCGGCGGTGGGCATGTGGGCGCGCGTGTGTTTGAGGGGGTGGTGGTTCTCGCGGCGACGTTAACACGAACGTGGTGGTTGCTCCACAGATGTCAGCTAAGCATGTGAAATCATAGTGCCCGCGGGACCCCTGCTACTACTACCACCACCATTACCTCTCTTGACCTCTACTACTACTAATTTATGCCTGCCTCTCTAGTCTCTCTATACCCACAAATCCCGGGTACTAATACTACTCCAATACGACTATCTCAGTTCAGCTCTACCTACGAAGAGCAAATACTCGGTCCATTTTGGGATTTTCTTCTTTGCTACTCTACTCTTGTTTCCATCTCCGCCAATAATTCAGGGTTCACCCGCCAAGATCCAACTAGGACATGTCCCTGTCCGCTCTAACAAACGGATGCATTATGCGCTACTTGCATGCTATGGCTACATGGCTTGGTGTAATTTCGGACTGTTCGATTGCTACTTCTGGCTGATCTTCTAGTAGTTGAGAATAATGCAAGTGGTTTATGGCTTTAGGTGCTATTCTGCGGACACGCGCTAAGCAACAAACCAACGGGTGTGTAAGGTTTGCTCTTGGGCTGGGTTGGTAGAAATTGTTCCTGCTGAATCCTTTGGGCTTTCGCTTCGCACTATTCCAGCCCAAATATGTATGGAAGTTTTGGTCTTGGCCCATCATTCCGGACAAATCTGGAAGCCCAGGAACATATTGCGCGAATTGTATGTTTCCTTGCCTCTATGCTCTTTTTCATAGTGGCAGACAAATTAACAAATCGGCAGGTTTGTTTCAGCACACTTAAGGGCCTGTTCAGATTGTAGCCAAAATAAACCTAAAATTTTGGCAAGATAGCAATATTGACAAAATTTTGATAGGATTTCTTATGTATTTACCAAATTTGGTAACAAACTAAACGTGATATTTTTTAGCAACTTTGCTAAAAGATGGTATGGTTGAAAATGACATCAAAGTGAACAGGCCCTTACAGTACTGAGTTACCAACTAGCAAATGCATTTTTACACTGTAGAGATCGTAAATCTGTAACTAAGATAAGATATGTTTTACAATGCTCTTTGCTAATTGTAGGACCAAATTTTTAGATAATGGAAATGGATTACATCTCCGACTTCTGTCAAAAGACACACAGCCATAAGTTTAATAGTAATAAAAATGCAAGATAAAAGTAAATCAAAATGAGAAATAAGGTGATGGGACAAATCCCCAACTCCCCTTTATTATTGACTAGCGTTAAACCACATAAAATTTTTTAGCTAACAATTCTTATGTAACTACGCCACCCATAGTGGAATAAGAGACCCTTGGCTACCGATTTCAAAAGTGTAGCACCATTGCGCATAGTATCATGCTCTGTAGGACCAAATATATATTGTTTATCTTTTTCAATCCAATACGTACATCAATTATTGGTAATATAATTTTTTTCCTCTATGACTAGTAGAAGAGTAGAACTCATAAATTACTGTAGCTCTTAAGATCACTTCCACTGACAATAGTAGTGGCAGTAGAATACTATAAGTAGAAAGCCCTATAAAGGTACTCACCGGTTAAAGATTTGTAAACCCTTTTATCTGGTTCATGATATGTTGCAAGAGTATGGTGCATGTCTTTTATTTTTCCCTCAATGAGTTTGTAACAGTAAAAAACTCATCAGTCCCATTAATTTTATAAGTTGAACAGACCAAAAACTAAAGTCAAGTTTTTTTTTTTAATGCAAGAAGGGGAAAAAAGAACTGGGGGGAAAGACAATCGCATCTCTGTCTCTCTAAAAAAAACTCAATCCAGTTGTGATCCGTGTGTCCTAAAACTTAGGGACGGCTTCTGCATGCATTCACTTTGCAGCGCATGCATGTTGCAACCACTACGCTGCGTATCCTAGTTTTAAATGAGCAACAGCACGGCATGATAATTGCATCTATCAATGTGGAATCGTACGTACCATTGTCCATTGATTCACCAGAAAAACACACATAAACGGACTATATATGCCCCCCTGCAATCTGCAGAGCAACTTCCTCTGCTGGTACCTATAGAGCTCAGATAATTGCAGTGGGTATATATCACTGTATAAGAATATACGACTAGTAGGATTTGGTAATTAATTGCGCGTACAAATATGTCTCAGAGGATCATTACACATGATTGGTTCCAATAATGCCCCGTGTTTTGATTGCAGAACCGGCCATCTGTTCCTACTCCAAATTAATACAGTAATACCACCACTACTACTACCATCCAGACAGTGAGACAGAGCAGTGTACATTTCTGAAATTTAGAAGCAGTGAGCAGGTAGCAGGTATGTATACTGTCCATAACTAACCTGAGATAACTGCCAAGGCGTGATCCCAATTTTTTAATAGTGTTCCGTTTCAGAAATCACTTTCTTTAATACAGTGCACTCGTGAACTGAAGAAGCCTCCCATTTTTCTCCATTCCGTTGCATGATTTGCTCCGGTTAGCCATGTGACCCCTAACCAAAGCACGTCGGGTGCAACGACCGGTGATGGCGATCGCGTCGCCTTCTCCTCTCTCCGGCCGCCTATAAATTCGGCGCCAATGTGCACCTCTCCGACCACCAAAACAAAGCTCAGAATCCTACCTGACTAGTACTACCACTACTAGCTAGTAGCGAGCTACTCTCTCTGGTCATCAAGCTTTGAGTGGTTGGAGTGGTGGCAGCTATGGCTTTTTCCATCTCCAAGAAGGCTGCAGTTGCTGCACTCTTCTCCTTCCTTGTTGTCACCTGCGTCGCCGGCGCCAGGCCGGGGAACTTCAGCGCCTCCGACTTCACCGCCGATCCCAACTGGGAAGTCGCCAGGGCCACCTGGTACGGCGCTCCCACCGGCGCCGGCCCTGACGACGATGGTACGTTTGCCGGTGCACCTCGGCGACTGATCATTCCATCGAGATGAACCAATTACGTTGTATAATTGAACTGTTATAAATAAGTGTGGTGTTGATGCTGCAGGCGGTGCTTGCGGGTTCAAGAACACCAACCAGTACCCGTTCTCGTCGATGACCTCCTGCGGCAACGAGCCTATCTTCAAGGACGGGAAGGGCTGTGGCTCATGCTACCAGGTACACTAAAGATTCAGCTCAAATTTGCAATGACGACGGGCGTTGAGCCGTTGATGCGAAGCGACTGATCGAGACGTAGGTATTCACAGTGTTGTTGACTGTTTGTTGCTGGTGCATGGCTTCTTTTTTTCTTCAGATAAGATGCGTCAACCACCCTGCCTGCTCCGGCAACCCGGAGACGGTGATCATCACCGACATGAACTACTACCCCGTTTCCAAGTACCACTTCGACCTGAGCGGCACGGCGTTCGGCGCCATGGCCAAGCCGGGGCAGAACGACCAGCTCCGCCACGCCGGCATCATCGACATCCAGTTCAAGAGGTAATAGTTTAGTAGTAGGCTAGTAGCTCCTGCAGGCTGCACGAACAGAAGCATCATCATGGCCACCCCTTGCCTTGCAGTTGCTAGCTTGTGCCGTCGTGGAGCCCTCGTACTTTTGGGTGCAAACCCGACAGCGACATTGCTTGTATGTCCTCCGGGACCCAAGCAGATTCTGATCGCACAAATACCACTAAAACTCTTTTAATTAAGTACATGCAGCCGCTTTACAATTTGTCGCCTCTGCCTGTCATCACCTACTACTATACTGCCTTGCATACTCACTCTGAATTAATCTGATAAGAATGTAACACTAACACATGGATTGTTGGGGGTTTGGCCATGCAGGGTGCCGTGCAACTTCCCTGGGCTGAAGGTGACGTTCCACGTGGAGGAGGGGTCGAACCCGGTGTACTTCGCGGTGCTGGTTGAGTACGAGGACGGCGACGGCGACGTGGTGCAGGTGGATCTCATGGAGGCCAACTCCCAGTCGTGGACGCCGATGCGCGAGTCGTGGGGCTCCATCTGGAGGCTCGACTCCAACCACCGCCTCACGGCGCCCTTCTCGCTCCGCATCACCAACGAGTCCGGCAAGCAGCTCGTCGCCAGCCAGGTCATCCCGGCCAACTGGGCCCCCATGGCCGTCTACCGTTCTTTCGTCCAGTACAGCAGCTAAGCCAATGATCAAGAACAAGCATAATTCATGCCTACTATAGCAGCAGCAGAAGCAGCATTAGCTACTATACATACCTCTACGTACGACATTTGAGATCGATCGTTTGGCCATTTTTATCTGCTCGGGTATTGATTAGCTCTCCCTCGGTATTGTATGGATTTGCATGGATGGTTCATTAATCTGTCATCAGGAGTTCGTTTTGAGTAGGTGAGACGTCGGTTGTTGGGTGTCATATAGACATCGCTCGGTGTCTTGAGGTTGAGAGTGGGATAAGGAGGAGGCAAAGTTTGCATGTGCTGTCCCGCCCACTCTCACTGTACCAGTGTCACTGTTTGTGTAACCAGAACAAAGGTCATAAATTATACTACTAGTATACAGTTTGCTGCCTGGCATTCAGTATGATCAATGCTTCCATTTCTCACCTGTGCCTTCTCCTTGTCTGATGCACAGTAGTGGTACTCCTCTTCAATCTTCATGAACATGCAGTTTATTGTGTGGTATCCAGCTGGATCTTTTGCTTCTGTATGTCTCTCAATCTAAAATATATATATCTCCAAAATCTATCTTGTGTACGTGCCTTTGTAAATGCCCTAACCGCCGTATCTGTTCGTTTCACTTTATCACTTTCGCTATTTCGATCAAAGCTGACTCAATGCATGCACTCTACTATCTGACTCACTTTTGCTATTAGGAATACGATCCTGACCTCCTAACCGACGTCCTGCTCCGGTGGAAAGACTTCTGAATAAGATTATTAAGACCTGGAGGTTGAAAAAGGTGAATGAATTGATTTACTACAAACTGAAAGGATCTGACTTGGAATGTTGCTCTGCCTTTCCAGAATTTTAAAATGAAGGAACATTTGCAAATTCTGGTGACCTATATTTATTGATAAAAAAAGTTCCTTAAAGTTTGGTTTCTTCTCTTTTCTGGTGGATTCTAGAAATCCTGAAAAAGAACATCATAATTTCCTGCAACGACCAAAGCACGTACGTATTAGGAGTACTTAATTGCAGTGGCTGTGCTTCCACTGAACGCAAAGGATACTAATCCCACAACACAATACAAGTCCTTTTCACTCCAAAGTTTTCATTTTCCTTTTCGTAACAAAATCTATAACCGTGATACATGGTGATGATGAACGAGCCGTTAACTAGACATGCGAGCAGTCAACGGCGCCGCAAAAGTTCACCCACCGAGGGACCTACTGGATTTTCGCCGTAATTACGGGCGTCGAACTGACTGAACCTGATTGTAAGGTTTGGTTAGACTAGTAATTTGTCTTCAACAAAAAACTGAATACTTGAAGTTAGTACTCGTAACTTATATGTACGTTTGGACATTAGGCTACCAATTTGTCTTCAACCAAAATGCTTGATGAACTTTGTTACACTAGAGAAAGGTGTAGAGAAAAACGAAAAGGAAGATGTGCTAGCTCTGTTCGGATGCATGGATAATAGCGGAAGCAAATGTTCACCGATGCTTTTGCTTTTCTCTTGTGAGGAGAGGAAACCGCCGAAAGGGACGTCAACCTCCGACCCTTTCTTTTTTTTTTCTTTTTCTCCGTTTGTCTCAACAGTTAACCGCGGAAAGGGACAAAGTAACTGACTCATGATGGATTCGGGCGCATGTGCGGGCGATAAGTGGGATGCCGACGGCTGCGCTGCGCTGCGTTGCACTCGTCTCGTCGCCTCTCCGCGCGCATGTGAGGTCCAGGGCCACCACCACGTACGCTCGCTTGCAGCTGCAGCGGCGACCGCAACCCAACCACAACCGCTCTCCCCGCTCCCGGCCGGTGCAACCACGATCGAGGAGCCGGCAAGCGAGATGGCGCCATCACCCTCTCTCGCACCGGATTCCGGGGCCGCGCGCGCGCGCAGCCGCGCCAGCCCTGCCGATCTCACCAGCTATAGCTTGTGTTTTGCGCGGAGAGCGCTACGGCTCGGACCGTTCGGCATCACACCAAAAATCGGACCGTTCGGCTTGTGTTTTGCTTGCGCTGCTGCTTGCATACTCTCTCTCCCTCTCCCTCCTATTACACGTGCCTAATTTTTTTCCTCAAATTGTAAATATTTTTCTCCAAAATTATATATCTGATCAAAATTTCAATTATACCATTAGAATTTTGCACAAATACTTAATTATGTTGAAATATTTTTAAATCGGACGTTACAAATCGTGTGTTCAATATTTTTTTCAAATATCGAATGCTGCTCTTCGTCTGTATGCAGGGACGCGTTGGAGGGGCAAGGTTGTCGCATGCATGCATGCAGGAGTAGAGCTGGCTGCCAAGGTGGCCTGAGGCACCATTACATTCTCTCTCTTAATCAAACTTTAAACAAAATTTTATTCTAAAATATATATCCAATCTATCATTTATAACAAGATCTCACATGAATATATTTTGATAAAAATATATATGCATTCTAGAAGAAAACAAACTTATGTTAAACTATTTAAAAATAATTCTTTCATCTTTTGTGGAGATGTTTCAACCCACTTCACAAATTATTCTAAAGAGGTACAACATATAAAAAGTATTGACTGCAACAATAATCATTATTACATCAAACATTAAGTCCCGACTAGTGAAACATTTTTTATATTTAGATTGAAACATCGAATTATAATTATTGTTAAATTATAATTATTGTTGAAACATAAAAAACGTATTTGCTGTAACATATAAAAAAAGATAGCATGAAACATTGCTAATGAATTAGTGAAACATCAATAAATACTTGTTGGAATATTTCAGTAACAATGTGTGCAACATTTAAAAAGTAAAATTAAAAGTCATCGGAATATAGTCATGTGATATCTTGTTATAAAGATTTAAATGTAACGAATCTAATGATATAATTGGTTTGAAATTCAGATAAATAGTTTAAGAGAACAAATCATTTAAATTTTGAAACATGTTTACATGCATGCTCTGTTGGTTTGTCAGTACACCTAACCAACCGTTTTACCATACACCTACACTGTTGTTCTTTTAAATTGAGACGTCCGATTTTTTATTTTTGGCCGGACGGCCGATGGTAAGCATTTCCGGTTTTGCACTGCGGGTGGCACGGTGCTCTGCTTGCTACGCGGCGGGTGGACTGCGCGTGTGCGCAGCAGGGTTCGTGGTCGGTTTTTGTGAAATTTGATGTTTCTTTCTTTCTTTGAACAAACCGACACCAGCATACCAATTTTATTGAATATAGTGAAAAGGAATTTTCGTACATAACAAAGGAAAAAAAATTAATGTTTTATACGAAGAGGTTGCCATGGGACTAAGGTAAAAGCTCCGCTATGTGGTTGGCTCCCCACATCGCTCATGTTTTCCCCTCCGTTTTTGTTTGGAATGCTGTCATTGACAGTCCTATTTGCTGAAAGCCTATTTGATTTCTCTTCTTCCATATTTCTTAATTAACTTTATCATCATTGAAAAAATACTTGAAGATACCATATTTTTAGTGTAAAATTTGGTACTTCCAGATATTAAGTACCTTAAATTACAAAAGATTTCAGTGTAAATTTAGATACCTTGAGATACTAAAATTTATCTATTTCTTAGGTTGTTAGTTGAAGTAAGTATCATAACTTATACTTGGGTACTTCTTCGCGTGCTACACGCTCCTCCCACCACTCGTGAAATTTCAAGGTTTTAAGTTGGCTCAACCGCTCAAGGTGATAAGCTACATGATAAACATATCAAAATTAAAAAAATTCAAATAAAATTTTAAATTTTTAAAAAAGAGTGCATTGAACATTGGATCACTTGTTTTTACCTGTTTTGCAAGTTTGGCTAAGGATAAGAGAAAGTTTTCATTTTGGACCGGCTAAGTTTATACCTGGTCTCACTTTGAGGCAACGTTCTCTCCATCTGTCCCAGCCCTTTCTTTCTTCTCTCATCAGGGCAATCTTGACGAGCACATTATCAGTGTACAGTTCCTTTATAAGGTGGTGTTTGAGCTGGATTCAATAATCACTAACGGAAGAGGATCAATCTTTCATGCGTTGGATTTGGAAACTAACAACAAATTGTGAGAACTCAAGCCATGGTCCTCAAGCTTCTCGTTAGGTGGGGGGCACAAGTGTTGGTTGATCTTTGGCCACCGAGCCAGAAAGGAGAGCATTGGGCTCAGCCCACCAAGGCTCACACGCTCCTTGACTTTGAAGAGTGAGACTCATGCACGAGTGACAACTCATGTACTCTAAACCATTCCCAAAACCATCAGACTAATGATCTTAAGACGTGCTGGAGGGGAGCGAAGGTCGAATTCCTATTGCCACCGCCGCACCAGGGCGAATTCCGTCGCCACTGCCGCTCGGTGATCTCCATCACCAACGCCCTACTACCAGTACACTGACGTGACTCATGGCTTCATCAAGATCCGGTCAGTAAAACACCAAATTCCACATAAAAAATTAGGTAATCATGCATATCCTAAGTACATGTTTAAGGATTAACTCCAATAACAAGCACTACCACAGGGGAGCAGGTGCTCCTCGACGGCTCGACACTGAGTTTGCTCATGTAAGCGAGAGAGCGCAGCTCACAGGTCAAAGTAAACTGATGAGGAAGAGGATTGTTGGGCACTGACACATGGGGCTGCTAGTCCAAAGTGCAAAGTGTCATGGAGTAAACAAACCTAACCCAAAGTGAATTTTTTATCAGTACCTAGTCCAATATGCAACTTTAAGTCAAAATAGGAGGCCCAATGCGCAATGTACTCTTTTAAAAATTATCCCTTCAACTGTGTTCGGTGGTTTTTACGGAAACCGGGAAAACCGTTAACGAGCCTTTTCCGATTTGGTAACAGCTTTGCATGTGAACGGCTAGCTGGTAAGCAAACACCGTACGTTCTCACCCGATCGCCGGCGCCGGCGCACCGTCGGGCGAGGCGAGCAGCTACCTTGTGTTTCGCTGGCCGTTTGGCACGCGCGGCCGGCGCTCTGTTCCGCTTGCTGCATCGCACGCTCGCGCTGAGCCTGAGCTGAGAAGAGCAGCCACGGCATCTCATCCGTTTGCGGTGATGTGCTGTTATTCATGTGCTGATTTCAACGATCGAGTGCGTTGCGTGCGGCGGTGGACGAGAGATGTTTGGGCAACCGAAGCACGGAAGGAGGCGTCGTCGCGCAGGTGCCAAGTAGACGCGCATGTGAGGAGTACCATTCACTTGCAATACTCTGGCGGATAAAAGAAAACTCGCGCACGCCAGTTAACGTGTCAGGGAAACCCACGGTGGAGACTATGGTGGCAATGTCACGTGCGCCCACTATTTGCACCATATATGTGTCAGTCCGCATCATCAATTCATCATCCAGGAAGTGAAATGGACGGAGAGCAGGGACCCTTGTAAACGCATGGCTTAGAAGTCGTCGGATCGTGGCCGTCCATTTGCAATCTCATGGCCT